TACATAAATCTTGAAAACCTGCGGGTTATTTGCGTGGGCGGGTTATTTGCGTGAAAATACGGTAAATTGCTGGGAGGCAGAGGCCAAAGGGTGGGGGTGGGTGGGTGGAGCTACATTCAGTGTATAAGACACACCCAATTTTTCACCCTTTTTAGGGGGGGGGGAAGGTCTGTCTTATATTCCAAAAAATATGGTAAGTAAAAACATTGATACCCCCTCCTATTTCTATGAACAATGTGCTCCATCCACTACATGGAGTTTTTGACTTAGGACTGTAATTGAGCAGACAATTTTCATTTAAAATCATGATGTTGGTATAATGGGTTACCATGTGACCAGATCTAACTTTAGACTTAATTTTTTGCAGAAGTTATAAAGCAAACACTGTAGTTGTTAAACAAACCTTTTCTTAGCTATGGGGCTTCCCCCCCCCCCCACTTCCTGGAAAACTGGAAGTAAATGCAGGTTTCTGGCAAAAATGTAAATTGTAATCAAGTGACTATGGGCCACTGCAAACAGTCGTAAATGCAGGCCAGTTGCCAAGCCCCTAAAACATTGTCCTTTAACTGTGGGGGAGGGCAGATCATAAGTAACATATTCTGTGTTGATTTGCCGCAACTTTGAATGGTAGCTAAGCAACCGGCCTTAAAAATTACTTGTACAGCAAGTAGAAAACTATTCCACAGCTCACAATTTCATATTCCTACAATGATAGTAAGTATCCTTCACTGGTGCATACCAAACAGACCCACAATTTAGGGCGGAAGGCTTCACTGAATGAATGTACTTTATAAGGAAGTGATCACCGGCCAAGCATTCTCCAAAGGAGGCTTGAGTTGAGGTTAAAGATAGGATTTATAATTCTTAATTAAAGATGACATAGATAACCTGGTAGCTGTCATCAAAGGAGCATTTGTTGGGAAAATAGCTGGATCTCTGTGCTCCTAAACGTGTTTTTGCAGAACAGCATTTGCATACAGTTTACACCCCAAAGTGATGAAGCCCCTATCTGTTTAGAGATAGCCAATTTGTAATGAAGAAGAGCATCAGGAATGTAAGCAGGAAAGCAGACTTCCTCCATTCAAGCAAGCTGGATGTTGGTAGTTCTCCAAACATCCAGTTCCTGCTAGCCCTATGCCAACCTGGAATTTTGCCTAGAATAGAAAGAAAGCATTGGATGGAAGGATAGAAAATAAAAGGCCTTTCCTTTTGCAGCAAGAACAAAAAGCCTTTGGGGTGACATGATAGCAGTCTTCCAATATCTCAGGGGTTGCCTCAAAGAAGAGGGAGTCATGCTATTCCCCAAGGCACCTGAGGGTAGAACAAGAAGCAATGGGTGGAAACTAATCAAGGAGAGAAGCAACTTAGAACTGAGGAGAAATTTCCTGACAGTTAGAACAATTAATCAGTGGAACAACTTACCTCCAGAAGTTGTGAATTCTCCAGCACTGGACATTTTTAAGATGCTGGATAGCCACTTGTCTGAAGAGGTACAGGGTTTCCTGCCTAAGCAGGGGGTTGGACTAGAAGACCTCCAAGATCCCTTCCAACTCTGCTATTATATTGTATTGATTTTATAGAGAAGCTACGTGAGAAGCTAAGCTCACTTGCAGTACATTTTAGATGTAACCTAAACATTGTAGCTGGAACTGTTCAATTTCTATGTGTGTAACTAACCTGCGTCTTGATAATGGAAGGACTGAACTAGAAGCTTGTGGAAAGCAGTCAGGGGCCAAGTCTTTTTATATATTTTGCCTTAATTTAAAGTACATAAATTTTTATTAAAGATTATCTGAATATACAAATGAAAATGACATTTTCATGAGGGAAAAGGCAAGGGAAAAGTGAAATAGAGTGAGGCAAAGGAGGAGGAGAAAAAGGAAGAGGAGGAGGATTTTATTAAATACTGAAATAATTTATCTCTGGTACAAAAGCTTTCAGTGTACTTGCAAAACGACAGAGAAAAATAATAATAACTGAATTGCTGACTTGAAACTTTTCTATGTATGTCATTTTACATTGTTTCCTGTTTTTATTGGCATTTCAGCAGTAGCTCACTTTGACTGATGTCCAATAAAAATAAGCTCCTTAATGGCACTTCCCACCTTGTTAAAATGATTGAGGGCAAAAAAATTTTTTACTCTGGCTGCTGTTCCATTTGTCTATAATTGCAGTTTTTCCTTTTTTTTTTAAGGTGTGAAAATCATCATGAAAAACTTAGTGTATTTTGCTGGACGTGTAAGAAATGTATCTGCCACCAGTGTGCACTTTGGGGTGGAATGGTGAGTAAGCTTTTTATGTACAGATGAAGAACAAAGAGTTTATGCAATGTTTATTTTATAGAAACCAAAGCACTACCCTCATGGTATGAACTTTTTTGCCATGGTTGTTAAGTGAAGCAGTGTAGTTAAGTGAATTATTCAGTTGTTGAGCGATATATAATATATTTTATAAAAAATATTCATCCATTCAAATATATATATATGCCGGTTTTCAAGTGCTTGAATTTTGATCATGTGATCATGAGGATACTGCAACAGTCATAAGTTTGAGGATCTGTCATAAGTCACTTTTTTCAGTGCCTTTGTAATTTCAAACAATCACTAAATGAATGGTTATAAGTCAAGAATTACCTGTAATACAGTTATTGAACAAAGAACAAAGTAATTCTTCCAAGTATAATATGCATATAATAAAACATATTAGCTTTCAAGAAAAATATAAAATTCTGTTTTTATTTGAGGATGGACTACAATCAGAAAATCTTCCTCCCCTTATTTTAACACCCAGTAACATCTATTCCCCACTATTTGGCAGGGTTTTCTTAAATGACTCTTCCTCTGATCTGCTGTGCTGACATAATGTTCATGTAATTTAAGATGCAGCTATTTAAAATCAATTAATGAAATCAGCTTTGACAAGAAAGGCATGTCACATACCTTTTACTATTTAAACCTTGAATTAAGCATTCATAAGAAGTGTTTCTGGGGAATTAATTTAGTTTTTTCCTGAAATATTAACTTCAAGACATCTACAATAATAGTTCTTTAATGAGGCAGCAAGCTAGACAGTTTTACTTCAGTTATGTATTCACTAAGAACCTGAATAGATTTTTGTGGGAAGTGTGACTGGAAGAAAAACCAGATTCAGCAGGTTGAAAAGTGCTTTCTTCCAATAATAATCTTTGGGATTCACTTTGGTAAGAGTGTTTTGAGCTGGTACAATGACCTTACCAAATTCATCTGCATCTTTCTAACAGCACGGCGGACATACTTTTAAGCCTTTAGCGGAAATATATGAGCAGCATGTCACAAAAGTGAATGAAGAAGTGGCAAAGCTTCGTCGAAGACTCATGGAGTTGATAAGTTTGGTACAAGAAGTGGTGAGAACAGCTCTTCCAATTTTGTTGATGTATAATTATCATATTCGAATATATCAGCTGAACAAAAACTCCGCATTGGCGACAGGAAGGGCATCTGGCCAGTAAACACTCGGTTCCATTCAGTTGCCCAGACTCCACCCCCAAGGGATTATGGGAGTCATTAAAAGAGGATGATAACTTTCATCTTTTCAAAGCCGTCCTAATGGGATCATTGTTTGAAATTGGAAGGTGGTTTCTAACCTGGGGCAGTTGGGAGAGGAGAAAAAGGTGAAAGAAATAATTATTTTCCAGGTGGAAACAGTAATAAACAGATTCACAGCTTTCACTAAGATGAGATGTTGAGTCTCTCAATCTTCAGCTTAGCATTTCCAGCCTTGCCAACAAGTAATACATGCAAAAAGTACAGATAATCCTCGATTTGAGCCTAAAGTTTCCTTCGCTGAGCAGAGCATTTGTTAAGTGCGTCATGCCCCATTTTACAACCTTTTCCCCCTGGTTGTTAAGTGAATCACTTCAGTTGTTAAGAGCATTCTGCAGTCATCAAGCAAATCTGGCGTCCCCTATTCGCCTTGCTTGTCAGACATTCCTTGGGAAAGTTGCAAATGGTAATTCCAGGATCCTGCACCCATCATAAAAAGATGCTAGTTGCCAAGCACTGACACTGGGGATGCTGCAATGGTCATAAGTCTGAGAGCTGATTATAAGTCACTTTTTTCAGTGCTTTTGTAACTTTGAACGATCATCAAACAAATGGTTGTAAGTTGAGGACTACCTTTATCTAGAGAAGGGACTTGCTGGTTAATGTTTTCAAGGTGAGAATATTTTTAATGCTGCTCCTTTAAAAAAACAAAATGAGCAAAGCATCATCAATTTAACGCCTCCCAATTCCCAAGTTACTTATTATATCTGTGTTGCAGCAATCAGAGAGTGGTTGAGAGACAGTGAATAATAAAAATTTCACGCCTATTTTTCTGGGTTTAGAAGGGGAATTAGAGTTATGTATAACAACCCTGAGGTGTAATCCAAGGTGACATTCTGGTATTGGGGGGAGTGGGGAGAGTAAAAGATCCTAGTGATAATGTTTTATATTGCAATTGTAAGTTTTACTTTCTCTTCCTTCCTATGTGGCTTCTGTTTCCAAAATGAAGGTGTTAGCTGCTCAGAAATTATTCCAGCCTGTACTCTGAAAGCCAGGTTAATGTACTGTACTGGTTAAGGCATAAGACTAAGACTAGAAACCGGGAGAACTGGGAGTTGTAGTCCCGCCTTAGGCACAAAGCCAGCTAGTCGTTTTCTCTCAATCCCAAAAAGAAGGAAATGGAAAAACCACTTCTGGAAAACCTTCCGAGAAAATTGTAGACTGTGGATCAAATGTGATTGAACAGAAGGGAAAAATGTTTCTTCCATTCAAGCAAAGGGGTTGCATAGGTAGCCAGGAGCATATGCAAACAGCTGCTGAAGTTACAGAAAGATGTGGCTATTTTAATGATTTAGAACAGTGTTTCTCAACCTTGGCAACTTGAAGATGTCAGGACTTCAACTCCCAGAATTCCCCAGCCAGCGAATGCTGGCTGGGGAATTCTGGGAGATGAAGTCTGGACATCTTCAAGTTGCCAAGGTTGAGAAACACTGATTTCGAAGGAGGTGCTACGTATGCTTTCCCACATGTTCTGTTCACTTCTGTTATAGGATTTGCACAACCCTTGTCATTCCCATGTAAACAATGAAAAGCTGTCCAGGCAGTTCTAAATTGATGCCATGTGTGTTTTTCAGGAAAGGAACGTTGAAGCGGTACGCAGTGCGAAAGATGAACGTGTTCGAGAAATCAGGAATGCTGTGGAGATGATGATTGCTAGGTTAGATACTCAGCTGAAGAACAAACTTATAACATTAATGGGTAGGTTTGTCTTTTTGTGTGTGTGTGTGTTATATTTTAGGACAGGAATTGAACTTAGCACTTGACAGATTTGTCTTTGTCCTCTTGCTGCTCATTTATTGAGGGGTGTGGGCCAGTGGTTTGGGAGGTTTAATTGAACAATGCAGTTGGTCCTCACTTAGCATCACTCGTTCAGTGACCAAATTTATGGCAGCACTGAACAAGTGGTACTTACGATAGTCCTCAAAGTTCCAGCCATTGCAGCATCCCCACAGTCATATGATTGCAGTAAGGGCGCTTGGTACCTGGCTCATGATTATGATGTCACAGCCTCCTGCAATCATGTGGTCACCATTTGCAACTTTCTTTGCCCGCTTCTTAGAAGCAAAATCAGTGGGGAGGTCAGCAGGAGGTCACAAATGATGACCACATGAGGTTGTTGCTTAACAACCTGTAGTGATTTTCTTTACAGTGGCAACTGGAAGTTCTGGAATTTCCAATGGGATTATGTGGTCTTGCGCTTCACAAGCATGTTGCTTAAGAATGGAAATTCTGATTGCCACCATTAACTAAGGACTATGTTTTGGTGTGTTTGAGTCAAAAGAAATGGGACTCCCCATTCTGTCTCCCAAGTTTATTTATGTATTTATTTATGCCTCTGGCATTGGCTTTGTCCCCACCGCATTCAGCAATGCATGAACATAGGTGTTTGTCTCCTCCATCTTCCAACAATAGGAGGGGTAGATTATTTTATAAGAAAGTTGAGTTGCTTATTAGTCAAAGATGGCTTAGCCTTGAACTGAGCAGGAATTTTCTTGGCATAGTATTAGGCTATAACTTGATAAGTCTGGATATAATTAGACATTTAGAAAGCAGAATATTATAATTGTTGCAAAACACCTGCTGTTTTTCAATAGAAAACAGGTCTGCCCTGTTCTTGCATGTGACAGTCTTTTCGATATTTCCAGGTTCTCATATCCTCTTTGCTTTATTTTGACAAGCCAGATCTTCCCTGCCCCTTTAAATTTGTGTGTTTTGTTGACTTTATTTATTCAGTTCCTATGGCCACAAAGGAAATGTTCTACCTTGCCGTTCCTGACAGAGAGCTTTAGGTTCTGAAGTTTCTTTGCGTCCTTGCTAATGTGTGATGCCCAGTACTAGATGTAATCCTTCGATAATATTTTTACATGGTTTCTACGTTTTTGATTGGACACCACCCACAGTTGCTCTCTGAGTGAGATGGACAGTTTCTAATTTGATACATAAATAAATGAAGTGAACCCTAACCAGAACATACCATAATGAAACTATTACGCAGCTCCAACTTGCACTGACTTTTTAGTGCTACATCACACTCTGCACATGTTTGAATAGTGGTCCTTTTTGTCACAAGAGACTTTTTTACAGGTAGTCCTCGATTTAAAATGGCTTGTTTAGTGACCATTCAAAGTTACGACGATGACTTTTGACCGTTTTTCACAGTGATGACTGTTTCAGCATCCCCATGATCATGTGCTTAACAACTGGTTCATAATTATGACGGTTGCAGTGTCCTGGGGTCACATGATCCCCTTTTGCGACCTTCTGACAAAGTCGATGGCGAGGCCAGATTCATTTAACCGTGTTGCTAATTTAACAACTGCAGGGATTCACTTAACAAATGTGGCAAGAAAAGTGATAAAACGGGACAAAACTCACTTAACAAGTTTCTCATTTAGCAACATAAATTCTGGGCTCAATTGTGGTCATAAGTTGAGGACTACCTGTACTTTGAGCTGCCTAGAATTGTGATTATGATTGAAGCAATTTTAAAATTTGATTAAAGAAATAAGTACTTCTGGACTCTTCTCATATGACTGCTGCAAAACCATGTCTCCGGTCCTGGCCGTAGGCTTCTGGTTTTCCCACACAGATAGCCATAGCACTTAGACTTATATACCGCTTAACAGTGCTTTACAGCCCTCTCTAAGCGGTTTACAGAATCAGCCTGTTGCCCCCAACAATTTGGGTCCTCATTTTATGCATTTTGGAAGGATGGAAGGTTGAATTCAACCTGGAGCTTGGTGAGATTTGAACTGCCAAATTGCAGGCAGTCAGCAGACACAGCCTGCAGTACTCCACTCTATCCACTGCACCCACCGTGGCTCTTGGTGTATGTTATTCTTATATTTAAACATTACTACCTTTGATTTGGCCCTGTGTTCAAGTCTTTTTGGCTTGAGTGCACTGCGCTGGCACAGTGTTGTCTTGTTTAGATTTTGGTTTCTTTTCTAATAGGTCAGAAGACATCACTCACGCAAGAAACTGAACTTCTGGAGTCTTTGCTGCAAGAAGTAGAACATCAGGTGAGGGCAACTAGTTTGTGGATTCTCAATATTTAGAAAGCGATTTTAAAATCGGATACCCAGGCATGAAATCTATGTTTAAAATAACAAACTTTGCCTCTGCAATATTCTGGCAGTACAAGTTATCCATGACTTGGCAACCACAGTGGATCCTGAAACATCAGTTGTTAAGCAAGAAGGTTGTTAAGGGAGTTTTGTCCCATTTTACAACCTTTTTTGCCACAGTTAAGCAAGTCATTGTAGTTAAGTGAATCATGCGATTGTTAAGTGAATCTGACCTCCCCATTGACTTTGCTTGTCAGATGCGTGGTGGGAAGATTACATGTGATGATCATATGACCCTGGGCCTGTGCAGCGGTCATAAATACATCTCAGCTGTCAAGAGGCTACATTTTGATCAATACAGTGCAATACAATACAATAGCAGAGTTGGAAGGGACCCTGGAGGTCTTCTAGTCCAACCCCCTGCCTAGGCAGGAAACCCTATACTATTCCAGACAAATGGCTATCCAACATCTTCTTAAAGATTTCCAGTGTTGGGGTATTCACAACTTCTGGAGGCAACTTCTGTTCCACTGATTAACATTTGGCCCCCCGCGCATTGTGTTTT